TTGGTTTTTTCGAGACAGGGTTTCTCTGTGTAGCTTTGGAGCCTATCCTGGCACTCGCTCTGGAGACCAGGCTGACCTCGAATTCCTGAGTGCTGGGATTAAAGGCCTGCACCACCAACACCTGGCGCAAAGCCCCAAATTTCTAAAGGTAATGTTTAAAACAGAAATCTAAGAAGCACTGGCTGGTAATTTTAAGTTTGGGTCACTCTGTCAGATAGGTAAATTTAAGGTTTTATCACTCAGATAGCAGAATCTTGACTGTGGTACTTGTGAGTGGTTGAAACAATGGCCTTAAAACTGGGAGTGATGGCTCAGAGGTTAAGAGCACCATCTGCTCTTCCAGGGTTCCTGAGTTCAATTCTCAGCAACCGCATGGTGGCTTACAATCATCCATTATGAGATCTGGTGCCCTCTTCTAGTGTGCAGATATACATGGAAGCAGAATGTTGTATACATAATAAATAAATAAAATCTTAAAAAAAAACAAAACAAAAACTAAGAATAACATTTGAATTTTCTAATTTTTCTCAGATCAGAAAAGGGTAGAGACTTATAGTCAGCACTAGAGTTAACTATATTTTTAGTTTCAAAAAAATATACATGTTGAAAGTGAAAGAGATTTAGCTACATATTTGGTTTTACAAAAAGAATGGAAAATTGCAGTAGAACTTAAAATAATCTGTCGTTCTTGGACCCAAATACAGTTTTTACTAGATTAGTTTACAAAACATGTCCTCAAGTTCAACACTCTAAAACACAATTCTAGTTCACCTGTGTTCGCAGACTTAAAAGACATATTTTGCCAGAGTTGATCACTTGTCGTACAGAATCGATGCTGGTTCCATACAAATTTTTCTCAAATTCACCATGTTCAATGAACTTGCCAGCTGCTATATCTGCTTCAAATGCTTGCCGTGAAACGAAGTGGTAATCTCTACCAGCTACTTCATGGTCTCGCCTATTCCGAGTTGTATCTAAGCAAACACAATCAGATAAAAATAATGAACACAAGGGCCTGCAGGGAATGACTGGAGGTCAAGAGCATATTCTGGCCTTTCCAGAAGACCTGAGCTCAGTTCCTAACACTCTCATCAGGTAGCCTACAGCTCCGGGTACATGGAGCCTGCTTCTGCTCTCCACAGGCAAGTGCACTAACATGCATACCCTCTTCTCCCAATATACATACAAATAAAACAAATCTTTAATAATAATGTTAGTAAACATGGATCAGCATGGAGTAAGATCAATCCAGGAAGAATTTTTATTTTATAACACAAATTATGAAATAATGAACTGAGGAAATGTTAAGGGCCTGTGTGTTTAGCACTGTTCCTATGGAGACATGAACAAAAACTATTTATACTCTCTTACTAGTTAACCTTAGTTACCTTGATCCATTTGGTTTATACTGTAAAACACTGCCAAGTCATCTTTCCTTAAAATGTATTTCCATAAGAGTAGGTACTATGTAATCTTAAATTTGTATTCAGAAATTAGGTCTAAATTTCTATCTTCAACATCAGTATTTAAAGAATCAGGAATTGGGTTTCCTATGTAATAGGGAAAGGGGCCCAAACTAAAAAATTTTTTTAGAAAATCCCCTAGTGCCATACACTTAGGAAAATTTTAATTCCTTAAGACTACCTTTAGCTGGGCGGTGGTGGCACACACCTTTAATTCCATCATTCAGGAAACAGAGGCAGGTAGATGTCTGTGAGTCTGAGGCCAGCCTGGTCTACAGAGTAAGTTCCAGAACAGGCGCCTAAGCTACAAAGAAATCCTGTCTCAAAAAACAAAAACAAACAAAAAGAACTACCTTTAATAAAAACTTGCCATCAGGTTTGGTTAAACAAATTTCCTCTTTCATTGACAATATTGTTTCAATAAAATGAAATTTTCCCTGTGTAGTTAAGATTCTGAGAAAAGCACAGGAAAATGGGAATGTGTCCAAACTTACGAGGGACTGCAGATGCAAAGCGGTCTTTTTCTTTGTTCATGAGTCTCTGACGCAGTTCATTCTGGCCGCAGTTCTGTGGACCAATCAAGATAATAGGTCTTTTCCTATTTGCTGGCTGATGGTAAAGTGACATTTCCTCGTATGTTAAGATCTCTTCATTGTCATAATCTTTGGGAAAGAAAGAGTTGAAAATTTCAGATATAATTAATGCCATGTCATAGATACTTTCTTACATAAAATAGCTAGGTTTTGTTGGTAGTGTTGAGTGCTTGTTTTTGAGGCAGGAGCTTGTTCCGTAGCCCAAGCTAGCTTCAAACTTGTGGCAATCCTCCTGCCTTAGCCTCCCAAGTGCTGAGATTACAGGTGTTTAAACCACCCTGTCTAATTTAAAAGTAACTAGTTTGCAAGTGAACACTGTAACACAGGAGACTGCTAGGGGATATTTATGTGTCAGTTTCATAAAGACTACACTTAATAGGGTTATTTTTAGGATCAGATATAATGGAGAGCAAGTATGGATAAACATCCGCACACAGTGGCTATGACTAGTATATCTGAGAGTGCTAGAATGCTTTCCTGTACTTACACAAATTAAAAATAAATCACACTTATACTATTTATCCTCTGATCCAGAATCATGACTCAAAATACAAGCTATAAGGAGTGAGGTAACACTCCTAAAAACCTAAGATAAGATGAAGCCAAAGCTATCAAGTCAGAACAAAGGCAAGCAATTAGCAGCCCTTATGAGGAAGAGGCACCAGGAAGTTCCATAAGGGAGGGAACCTTTTTAGTCTTGCTAGTATCCACCATAAGAGTTGGAGCTAGAATTTAAAAATTCTAACTCAGCTGTTTAATTAGCTGTAACAATTTAAGCAGAAACTTTAATATCTGAACTTCCATCTCATCTTGTAAGTCTGCAACCTCAAGGAATTTACTGTGAGACAAAAGTACAGTACATCATTTATTGCCATGGAGCACAGCAAGTACTTTAAGCAGCACTGACAATTGCTGCTTTTCTCAAAGTCAAAATCACACTGGTGGCATTCTGATTCCCAGACTTACTCAATTCTACATCTGGGGGCTTCAGATTTGCCAAGTATCCTACAGTATAGAAGCTCTCAGGGCCATACTGATCAACTCGAGTCTGTTTTAAGAAGTAGAACATTTACCTCAAATGCATGAGGTCTCAGGTTCAGTTCTCTGCACACAGAGAGATTGTGAGTGGAGGCAGAAAGGAAAGGAAATAAAACAGTTCATCCCCAGACTTAGATCTGAAATGTACTAGCAAACAAAGAAATTAACCAGTTTAGATAGTAAGATTAACAACTTTTTGAATCTTCTTATTTACATAATATACCAAGCATAATGGATGCTTGATTTAGAAAGCAATTACTTAAAGCTGATTGGATTTTAGATTCAGCATCATATAGAATATCTAATAATCTAGCTGGGTGGTGCACACCTTTAATCCCAGCACTTAATAGGCAAAGGCAGGCAGATCTCTGGGTTCAAGGCCAGTCTGGTCTACATAGTGAGTTTCAGGACAGCCAGGGCTGCACATAGAAACCCTGTCTCAAAAAACAAACAGCAAACAAACTTTTCTCTACTAGTTTAATTTATGGTTCACATTCTTGAGAAATAAGCCTTAAAGATTTTTAAAGTCATGCTTCTGACTTATTATTTGTCTTTTCTAATGTGGACCAAAGCAGGGCAAAGAAATTTAAACACAATGAAGACCAATCAAAAAGGTTATGAATCCAGAAAATAAGGAAAATCACAAGTGGTGGTGATGGCTGACCTAGGTTGTAGGTGCCCCAATCAGGGCCATAAGCTGTCAGTCAGTACAGTGGATTGTTGTCCCTGGGAACATAAGCCCAGTATTACCAGAGCTCTGGATTTTGAGAGATGTCATGACTTTAAAACTTCTAATTAAAGCAATCTGTCAAGGTAAGATAAACACCTTGTGTGCTGGCCTTAGCTGTAAGTGGTGTGCTCTGTAAAATGAGTCTTTGTGAGTTAAGATATTGTAAACATACTTCATATTTTATTTCAACCACATTGTTTTGAAAAAAATTGTTAGAGGGAAATAATTTTTTCAAACACCATAAATAGAGAAAGAAAACTTAAGGAAACATTATTGCAGATATTATAAATACAATTCCTACCATACCTGAGATTAGAACTTACCATCATTTTTATTGGCGTTATATAAAACCTTTTTCCTCTTCTTTTTATTCTTCTTTGCACACCACAGTTTTCCTGTTTTATCAAAAAATAGTCATAAATACAGTATGTATTTCCTTAAACAATGCTATTTCAAACTTAAATTTAAGATTTAACACACTGTTGACAGAACTATTTTTAATTTGTCATTTTCTATTAATTATACACTATAGACAGATGCTAATTTCATCATTTTTTACATCTAAAGATAATGAGTTTGCCTCTTATATTCGCCTTCAATGCATACACCTTTCTTTCTTGACAATTCTCTGTGTATATTCATCATGGTTCCAGATTAAAACCCAGTACTCTTGCTTTTTCCACTACCAAATGCATGCATCTAACCTGATTTTTCTGGCTCCTTGTCTTCTTCTATGGTTTGCTTCATGGCTTCCCTTTGCTGCTGAAAGCTTTTTCCTTAATAACACAAACAGAAAGAAAAGTAAAACATTTAAAAGGATAAAAACATTTTTAATCAAAGAGAAAACATTAGCAGTAATTTTTCACACTGCCTTAGAAACCCTTCTGCCAACACAAGAATAATTCCAGTTAAGATATATAGCCTACAAATGCCATACCAGCCTGAACGAGCCTGATCTTGTCTTAAAAAGGTTTATTTCTTATTTCTTTATCTTATTTAATTTTTAATATTTATTTTATTAATTATATGTATGTGTGTGTGTGGTGTGTGCAATGTGGACACTGGGAACCAAATTTGGGTCCTTTGAAAGAGCTCTATGCACTATTAATTGGTGAGTCGTCTCTCTAGTCCAAGACTGCAAATGTTTAAATTTTGACCCAGCTTATAAATCTAGTCATACGTATTACTTATTTGTCATATATTATAAAATATAAATAATAGACTAATATCAGAAAACCTCATAGCTGAACTTCAAAAAGGTTTCAATGAACATTACTATATACAAAGTACCATGCTGGGATGTATAATGGTTCTGATCATTGAGAATTCTCAAGTCAAACACATCAATTCAAGACATTAACTTTCAAAGTATTATATAGCCATTCATTATTTTCTGATTCCAAGATACCCGTCAACATATGTATTCATTGACATTTATTATTCATAATTTCTGTTTTTGTTTTTATGTATGTATGTATGTGTGAAAATGATTTCATTTCTGCCTCTTTATCAATGATATGAGTAGATAAGACATTTTTCTCAATGGATTAAGATTTTAATGTAAGAGGTTTTCAGTGTGACTAACTTTCATCTTCTCAGATCTTTGCCTTCAAATAAATTAGGGGAGATGCTATGGCCTCTGCTCACTAAGTACATGTCCTACCACTGGGCTGTGCCCTCAGTCCTTCAAACGCTTTCAATCTCGTCTCTTACCTGGAACAAGTCCAGCTAGAGGCTGGTTGTCTTCGTCCCCCTCTCTATAGGCCTGCCACCAATTTGGATCTTCCTGGCTGATCACATGAAGTATATCTCCTTTTTGAAAAGACAGACCTAACTCTCGACATGGAACATAAGGATCATCCGAGGGGTCATAGTCAAAATGAGCTTTTACATGGATCTGAAACATACACAAAGTAAAAATAACAGCAAGAATAAATAAAATGGTAACACAAAATATCTAGCACAAATGTACCTACGTGTTACAGCAGTGCAGGGAAATGAACTAAAAGGACATTTAGCTAAGTAACAACACTTTAGGGTAGGATTTGCTTAAGCTTATCTGTTGACATCTCTGTACTACAAAGAAGAAGAGGACTGTTCAAACTGAGTTACTGTTAACAGCTAACAAAGGTGCATCAAGGGCAAGGTAAGCAGAATAGAAACAGTCTGACCTGTGAAAATAGTGATCCTCAGTAAGGTATGCAGCTTCTAAACTACCACCATTAGAAAAGGCAGACTAATCTCACCAGGTCCCATGTTAAATTTCCTTGGCGTGTCATAGCCCGTGAACTTCATGATGGGTGCAACTGTGCCTTTGCTGCTCTGTGTTTCTTTTTAAAAGTGCATGTAACTAGCACGTTCCACAAGGCTAAATTATCTAAATCAGGATGATCAACTGGGAAAAATATCCTTACTATATATGATCCAAATCTATGCAATACATTTATAGAAAATAAAATGTAAAGGAACTAGAGTTTCTAGAAATGAGGACAATGCTTATGCTGGGTGTGGGGTGGATTACAAGATGAATAATGGCTAAAGGGCATATAAGGTGGGGAGTTTTAGATGCTGATGACATTCTGGTTCTTTAATTGGGTGTTGTTTGCCAATATGGTAAAGATGCTTTGTCCAATTTTCAAGTGAGGTTCTGTTTAAGAGAGTTCCCTAGGGAACCTTCTATTCTTGATATGAAAATAGACATTTGATGTAATTCATAGCGCTACACAGTTTATAGTTTTAGTATATTCAGCGACAGGCTAACCATTGATATTGGTAGACTATTTTTAACTCTCCTGTACTCAATACCAATGAGGGAACATTCATGTTCTCTCCCAATTCCCAAATTGCACATCAAATAATATCTCACTGTACAGACAGATAAACTATACTGTGTTTTCTAATGATTGTGGAAGCTATTTTAAGAAGTTTTGCTGTTGTTTTTAATTTTTTAGGTCTTACAAATAATACCTGCATGAATATTCACATGTTGTACATGAATACATATTTCCAATTCTCTTGGATATATACTTAACGGAACTTGCTGTGTTGTGCAGTAATCAAGTCTATCATTTAATAGAGCTAAGTTAAATATTTAACACGCAGCAATACACTAAAGTAAGGAGTTCCACATATTTGTAAATGTACCTTTCTCTTCTATGTTACTGAGCTAAAGTCACTTATAACTGTAGACAAACATCAATGGTAATAAAAATTCTGAGACTGAAGTATGTTGGATATCTTCTAAAATGTTCAGAGTTTACCAAATTTTAAATGTTGATATCTTATACTTATTTAAATAAAATCACCCAATTTCTCTGTTTTTACTTGAACACACCACACAGTGAAGTTTCTGATACAGAAAAGTAGAAGTCAAGGAACAATAAACAATAAATATTTAAACATTACTTACTACAGTTTCTTTGGCAGGAGGAGATTTGATTTGTTGACTAGGAATCAGAACAAATGTCAAAGTACCATGCATATCAGACTGTAACAGAAAGGTTGAACTATTTTAGAAATATTTATGAAAATCATTCCACAATCTTATGATCAAACTCCCTAAACAGGATGATCTGAGACCTATAGGAAAATGTCTTAAATTCCCAGATTCCTTCCTTATTTAGTCTTTCTGTTCAGTTTGCTGTATCGAGTTGTATGGCTAGATTTGTAATTACTGTCCAATACAGCACTAGCTGTTTTCAGAAATAACCAGCCTAGGCATCAATCATCACAACTTTTATTACTGACAAAACAGGGAACAAACTCAACCTGAGACATCCACCAATAAAATAGGCTACAAGTGATGACTAATGACACTTTGTTCTCCCGGAGCTGATATTTGGTGAAAATAGGGATATGGATATTTTCTAGCTTTATTAATCAGCAAGTAGTAGACATACTACTGTAACACTGACGCTAAATAAGAATATAAACATTGTTGCTGGGAGCACTAACTGATGCTTATAATTGCAGCACTTAAGAGGGCATGGAAAGAGAATCACCCAAAGGTCAGTCTAGGCTACATATTGAGTTTTATTTCAGCCTAGGTTAAGATAAGAATGAGACCTTATCTTCAAAAAGGAAAAGGAAAAATCATAATTTGTACTTCTGTGCAATATGATCAAAAATCATTCTCAAAATACAATTATTTGAGGGTGGTGGCAAATGCCTTTAATCCTAGTACTCAGGAGGTATGGATAGGTGCCTCTCTGAGTTCAAGGCCAGCCTAGCCTACATAGTAAGTTCCAGGACAGCCAGGATTTCATATGAAACCAAGGAAAGAAAGAAGGGGAGGGGGGAGAGGAAGGGAGGAAGGAAAACAAAATGATGGCTCATCAATTAAGAGCACTTGTTCTTAAAAAGAATCTGGGTTTGATTCCTAGCACCCATAGCGTGACTGACAACCATATGTAAGTCCAGCTTTCGGGAATCTACTGCTCTTTTCAGATTTTCTCAGATACTAGGCATGTACATGGAGCATATACATATATGCAGACAAAACACTTATAACAAACAAATCTTAAAAAATTCTTTTTACAAAGGTAATTAGAAGTGAGTACCTGATTATACTAGCACTGCCCAACAGAATTTGCTCAAGAGAAATGTGCTGCGGCTATCTCTCAAGATGACAGCCATTAACTACACAATAAATCTTGTTCAATTGTAGCTAGTGAGAATAAGAAACTGAATTTTAATTTATTTCACCAGGCATGCACAAGGTGTACAGACATGCATAAAATAAAAACAAATCTTTAAAAAAAAATAATAAAAGGAAAAATAAAGTTGTTATAATAAAGCCAAAGTAAATAAAAACAAATGAACCCAAAACCAAAAATAACACAAATTGACAAATGCTCTAAAGTTAGGCTAAAGTATAACTAATACTCATTAGTTATTTCTAAAAAAAAAAAAATACTCTAATATAATCCCTTCTAAGTTTAATAAGAAAGCACATTTTTAAATGAATCTGTTATTATTCTATGGTCTGAACTTACCAACAAGTCGAAAACCTCATTGACATCTTTTCCCCGGATTTCAATGCCATTGATCTCCAGAACTTCATCTCCTTCATGTAAGAGCCCACTCTTCTCTGCTGCACCACCTTTCACTATCCGGCTAATGATGACAGAATCCATTTCATTACGAACTGTGGCACCCTAAAAACACCCAACATGTAATTTAAACATAAAACTGTAATTTCTTGTTAAGTATTTCACTTTTAAATTCTATGTTTTAATCTAATAAGACTAGCCTTTAACTTATCTTGATAATAAATTTACTCTCACTGCTATAGTAATAACTAATTATATGTGAAAGCAATGTACCCCCCCCAAATTTCCTGTTTCAGAAACACTTTATTCATTAAACTTCTGAAAACACACAGATTTCTGAAGCACATAATAACAGGAAAAAAACGTATTCAGTGTTTAATGACATAAAATGATAATTGTTTTCTTCTGGATCTTATTCTAATAGCTAGAAAACATCTAGGTATAATTAATAAACACAGTGCCTAACTATAAAGAATTTCTTCTGCTGGGCAGCGGTGGTGCAGTCCTTTAATCCCAGCACTTTTGAGGCAGAGGCAGGTGGATCTCCGTGAGTTCAAGACCAGCCTGGTCTCCAAGAGCTAGTTTCAAGACAGCCTCCAAAGCCACAGAGAAACCCTGTCTCAAAACACCAAAAAAGAAAAAAATTTTCTTAAAATTCAAAATACAATTAAGTGATAAATAGTATTATGGTTAATTATGCAAATGTTAAATATAGCTGTAGCCAGTTCACATTAAAATGTATTAAATACTAATATTTATTATACAAATTGGAAGTGAAAAAGTATATACTCAAATTGGAAGTGAAAAAGTTTATACTCAAAAGCTAGAAATGTAGGATACAAGATAAAACTTATTTTCTGGGGCTCAGGGGTTAACAGCACTTGATGCTCCTTCAAAGGACCTGGGTTTTGTTCCCAGCACCCATATTGGTCAACTTACAAATCCCTGTAAGTCAGGTTCCAGGGGAACCAATTCCTTTTTTTGATGTCTTCATGTACCTGCATGTATGTGGTACACATACTTACACTCAAGCACATATACATAAAAAGCAAATCTTTTAAAAACCACCTAATTTTCTTAATAATTTACTTTAACATTGTCATAACTTCCCTTTTTATTCTCCTGGAAGGAACCAGTTATGTAAACTGCTTATACATTATTTTTTTAAAATATTTTAATACTGTAGTGTGTGTGTGTGTGTGTGTGTGTGTGTGTGTGTACAGTCATGTGTGCTCTAGAAGTCCCCAATCACTCTCATATTTGGAGACGAGGTCACTAAACCTGGAGCTGACTGGTTTGGTTAGGCTGGGGGCTAGCCAGGCTCCAGAGAAGTCTGCTTGTCTCTGAGAGAGTTGGGATCACATAACATCACCTTGGCTCTTCACAGAGGTGCTGGGGTGCAACCACTGGATCCTCATGTGTACCCAGCACATGCACCAAGCACGCTCCAATGAAGCCATCTACCTAGGTCCCAAAGATTAGATTTTTCTAGCTGTTGTTGTAAAGGGTAAATTGAAAGAAAATTAGTTATCCTCAGTAAGTATTTCATAAGCTGTTATTTTCACTAAATTAGGAGACAAGGTAATAAAATTAATTTTCAGCCAAATAAGGGTTTTGAGCAAGAGCATAGTAGAACTGCAACAAATTGACCCACAAAAGAAAACTCTCCAGGAACGTAACAAGAATCTTCAACGGCAGCATTGTATAGAGGTGGGAAACTTACCAATGGAATATCTCGAGCCTTTTCTATACGAACTATTTTTACAGTTTCTCCTCCATATTGGCCGATACTTTCATACACTCTCTCATCTGTAATGGGCTCTAGCTGCATTTCCTGCTCAGCAACTTTATCATGGGCCAGTAAAAGTGCCTGTTTCAAAATAAATAAATAAACAAATAAATAAATAAAACAATAAAACAAACCCACAGGACTTTAAGTAAGAACACAACTGTAGGAAGACTTAGTTTTCTCATGCATACAGTATTATGACCAAGTCTTCCCCCTCCCCTCCCCCGAGACTTGGTTTCTCTGTGTAGCTTTGGAGCCTATCCTGGCACTCCCTCTGGAGACCAGGCAGGCCTCGAACTCACACAGATCCTCCTGCCTCTGTCTCCCGAGTGCTGGGATTAAAGGCGTGTGCCACCAACGCCCGGCTGACCAAGTCTTTAAAGGCTTAAAATGCCACAGATAATCATGCAAGGAATTTTTGCCCATTTTTAAAATTAGCTATTTAAAAACATGGCTTGGATAGTTTTACATAAGAAAATAATTTAACAATAATTACTTTGCAGAGAGGGTTACAAACATAAGTGCTGGAAACATACACAATGTTCTATGCTTTGTTTACCTGAATATGTGGCGCATTTAACAAAGCAGTTAATTCTTGTCCTTCCTTCTGATGGACTGGCTTTAAGACAGTTTGTACCTAAGAAATTAAAAATAAACAAACAAAACACATTTTTTTCTGGTTCATAAGAATTAACAGCAGCAGCTATGTAATGCAATACTTTTATTTTTAAGTGAGAATCAAAATGACAAAAAGCACTTACAGTGAAGAAAAACACTAAAGAGATATATGAATAAAAAAAAATTTCCCACAGATCTTTTGATCTTGTTATTGCTAAAAATCACACTGTTTTGAAAGCATACTTCAAATATAGTATTACATCTACAAATGAACCATTTCAATTTAAAAAATTTCCTAACACAGCATAAAATACACTAATGACTGCATGTTAGAAGATCTGCTCTACCAGTTATCATGCTACTTTAGAGACTTTACGTCCTATGTTTTAAGAACTACATTAAAAATCTGAGATGTCAATTTAAAGTTATAGACTCACAAGGTAAATGTAGTGATGTTGGACAATGTGTTCTTAAGATAACCCCACAGTTACAATTTTCAGGCTCCTGTGTCTTTCCTTATATGCAGGTTGACCCCAATCATGTAAGGGTCTAACATGACCTCTATGTGTGTCTACATTTGTGTTCTTTCTTTCCTAACACTGCCAGACAGCTTAACTTATCACAGGTGTTGTCTACTTTCCTGTCCTTTTCAAAGAACCAGCTTCTAATGTCATGATTATCTATTCTTCCTAGTAAGGAATTTATTACTCTTTCCTATTTCCTTGGTTTCTAGTTACTTGAACTAAAAATTAAGTCTACTTATTTGCAATTTTCAATCTTCTACCAGTGAATATTGAGGCAGGTATGTTTCTCTGAAAACTTTCTCCCAAAGAGTATACTGTGTGCTCTTACTTACTGCTCATGCCTTTTTTGCCTTTGTACTACCAAACCCCATAGCCACTCAAAAATGGTACGTGGCAACAATGTGGATTACAAAACCAAAATTATCACTATTAATGAAATGATAAGAGTAGCCAATGATTAACAGGAATTCTATATCCTTTATGGCACACCAAAGCAATGAGAAGAGCTAGAGAGGTGGCTTCACAGTTAAGAGCGCTTGCTGTTCTTGTACAGGATTGGAGTTTGATTCCTAGAACCCATAGCAGACCACTCACAAACACCTATAACTCCAGATCAAGGGGATCTGATGCCTTCCTCTGGTCCCTGCAAGTACTCACATCTACATGTACACACATGTACATGTGCACATACATACACCCCCCAAAATACTAAAAAGTGCTGGGTGCAGTGGTACATGCCTTTAATCTCCTCACTTCATAGGCAGAGGATCCCTCTGAGTTCCAGGTGGGCAAAGGCTAACCAGTGAAACACTGCCCAACAAAGTTCACCCAGTTTGGGTACCTAGAAACTACAAGACAGTGCTTTCCTTTTGAAACTTCATGAAAACTACCCTAAGTTAAAATTTATAATCCCTGACTAAAATACCTTTCTACCAATGGAGAAAACAACTCTGAGAGGGAAAGACAGTTTTGAATTTAAAAATTTATCAAGAATTTATAAAAGCTACAAATCAACTTAATAATAATATTCTAGGTACAACTTTTTTTTGTTTCTACTTTTAAGTCAGTTCTAAGCATCTCTGAAATCTTTCTTTAAAAACAAACACACAAGCAAATAAACAGACAAAACCCCTGGCAGCAGGGTAGTGGTGGCCTTTAATGCCAGCACTCAGGAAGCAAAGGCAGGCAGATCTCTGTGAATTTGAGGCCAGCTCTACAAAGTGAACTCCAGGACAGTCAGGGCTACACAGAAAAAAATTTTTCTTGAAAAACAAAAAACTAGAATGCTGATAAACACCCCTTTCTCTGTCAGCAAGCCCAGACATTATCAATTCTTGTGTCAGCACATATCACTAGCTGCATTTACAAGGCTGAAGGAATTGAAGGACAGTTCTTATACGTTACTGGCCCCTTCCCACCAGCCTATAATCAGACTATATTAAAAACTCAAGACTGCAAATATTTTACAATGAAAACAGACCTGATCAAGTATTAAAGACAGAGAAATGGCCAATAACTACACAAAAATAGTCAGTAATCATGATGGAAAAGCAAATTAAAACAAGCACCACATCACATTTTAGTAACCGGAAAGCTGGCAAAAATGGTTCAGTGGGTAAAAAGCACTTGCCACCAACCTGACAACCCAAGTTCAATTCTCAGAATCCACATGGTGGAAGGAGAAAACTGAATCTTGAAAGTTTTGCTCTGATTTCCATACTCACACCACTGCACATACATGTATACACTCACACTCCACAATAAACAAATAAATGTGAATATAAATTTAAAATGAATCAGTAATAGGAAACAACCAGTTTCAACAGGTTTAAGTGACTAAATACAATGTGGGATAGTCACACAATACACTATGCAGAATACATTATTAACTACTGGGGTTGGAACTTAGATGAATGCTAATATGCCTATCATATGCAAAGTGTTGGGTTCAATTTAATATATGTACAAAAGAGACGAACCTCAAGATTACACTGGGGGCTGGAGAAATGGCTCAGAGGTTAAGAGCACTGACTGCTCTTCCTGAGGTCCTGAGTTCAATTCTTAGCACCCACATGGTAGCTCACAACCATCTGTAATGATTTCTCGTGCTCTCTTCTGGCCTGCAGGCATACATGCAGGTGGAACACTATGCATAATAAATAGATAAAACCAAGAAAAAAAGATTACACTGAACAGAGACAGGGTCACGGTTTGATGTGACTCCACAGGCTCATGTTTCTGAACATTGGATCCCCAAGTGGCAGTGCTGTTTTGTGAGGGTACAGAAGGTGAGGCCTAACTGGAGGAAGTGGGTTGCTGGTGGTTTATGTGTGTATGTTATGAGTTATAACTTTGCTTCCAGCAGCTATGTCTGTTCTTGACCACCAAGGCAATGTAGCCAGCTGTCCTACATTCCTTCTGCCACAATGAGCTATCCCAACCAGGATAAGCTATGTCCTCCCAAATCCTGGGAGTGCAAACAAATCCTTCCCATTTAAGTTGCTTCTTGTCAGGTACTGAGTCTCAATAACAAGAAAAATAACTAATGCAGACACAAAAGAATAAATACTGTGTATTCACTTGACAGGCTCATAAATAACAAATTAGTAAAGCAGGAAGCAGATGAACATATGACAAAAGGGGCAAAAGAGTAGAAGAGGTGGTTACTGTTTATTCAGGGCCTTGAGCGAGCTTTGTGGATGGTGGATATTTAGTAACCTGGTGGTAGATGATAAGATTTCACAGGTGTATACAGATATTTGCACTGAAGCAACCACGAAACACTGATTTTTAATAAATATAAACTATCTCAATAAAGCTGGACATGCTATACACAGAACCAAAGAAATCTCTATGTATACAATTACTCCTCAGTATCACACAGAATTAGTTGTAGGGACTCTTGTTCTATACCCAAATCCAAGGTCACTTGAGTCTCTTGTACAAAAAGGCAGAGTATCTGCAGGTGACTAACATACCTTTCCATCCATATACTTTAAATATCCCCCCTAGTAATGATGCCTAATATAATGTAATAGCTGTGTAGTATTGTTTAGGGAACAACAAGGGAAAAAAAAGTTTGTGTTGAGTACAGATTTAAATTCTTTTAGCAAAGTAGGCCGATTCTGACGATGGGCAGCCCAATGCCACAGAGGGGCAATTATCCATCCTTTTGATTTGTTTTTGTACAGTGTTTGGGCATCACACAAGCTAGGCAAGCACTCTAGCACTGAGCTCATTCCTCAGCCTCTCACATTTACTTTTACCGAAATGAAATCATACTGTTCAAAATGCTTTTATAAGAGTATTGTATAATTGTTTTGATATGATGACCACTGTCATCCTCACTGCCTCTTTCTCAGTCACAGGGTTGAGTCTAAGATCCTTAGCATTCAGTACCACCTGACTCTTAACCTCTTTTCCAGCTCTGGCATTACTCATGCCTTTAGGGTCTACCATAAAACCACTTTTTCATACATGTGCCATACTGTCTCCCCACAATCCCTGTGGTCATGCTACCACAACATAAGTTTTACACACACACACACACACACACACACACACACACACACACTTTCAAAATTAAAAAAAAATCAAATTCTATTTCATAGATGTTTTTGGATAAGCAAAAATTTATTTCATGAAATTCAAATTATCTCTTTTCTTCAAAAAAGTATAACTACAACATTTACTTTTTTATTAATGTCTAAGAATTAGATTTTCAAAGATTTAATCTGGATGTTAATATTTTGAATTTTTAAAAGTCTTTATTATTTATCACTTAGTAGTAAATATTTAGCTGAGGTTTTTTTTTAAACTTTCTTTTTGGCAACAATAAGGATAGAATCTAGGGCCCTGTACTGCTGAGTGCCATCTCCAACCCTTCACTGATGCACACGTAAGTATTTAACCTTTAATGTGTTCACTTCCTCTGTGTGCATGCATATGTGGGTACATACATGCCATGGCACACAGATGATCAGAGGACAAATTTTAGGAGTTGAGTCTTTCTTTCAACAGTGTTTGTTCTAGAGCTTGAACTAAGGACATTAGGCTTGGTGGAAAGTGTCTTTACCTGCTGAGCCATTTCACCAGCCCTTTACTTACAATTTCAGCCTTAAAAACAAGGCTTCCCCTTCCCCCTGGAAAAGAGTTTCTCTGTGTATTCCTGGCTGTCCTGAACTCACTCCATAGACCAGGTTGTCCTTGGGGATCGACTTGCTTCTGTCTTCCAAGTATGCTGGGTGGGATTAAAGGGGTGCGACACCATGTCCAGACCCAAAGAACACTTCTAAACACTTCTTAAGTTTCACTAAATTTTTTGAGATTTTTCAATAATATTACATTTCCATTTAAAAATGATGTAACTAGGAAATGGAAGATGGCTTAGATGTCAACAGCACTTGTTGTTTTGGGAGAGGACTGTAATTTGGTTCCCAGCACCCATGTCAGACAGCTCACAACAATGCCAGCTCCAGGGGATTGACTCTCCTGACCTCCAAGAATATCTGCAAACATGTATGTGTGCACACACAAATACACATAAATAAAAATTTAAAAAATCTTTAAAAATGATGCAACTAAAAAGCATGGAGTAATTTCTTATATATGTAAGTACTTTTGGTTTTTAAGACAGTTTCCTTTTTGATCCTCCTGAGTGCTGGGATTATAGGTGAGTATCACTGCTCTCAGAAAATTTCTTCTTTTATTTATTTTACTTTATTATTTTTTTTTTTTTGTGTTGCTCCGGATTTTATACAGGGCTTTGAATGTGCTACACAAATAGTGTACTAATGAGCTACATCCTCAGTCAAATTTCTTCTAAATGCTACACATTAAAACTGGGAAATTTTGCCTGGTGGTAATGATGCATTTCTTAATCTCAGCACTCAGAAGGCAGAGGCAGGTGGATCTCTGAATTCCAGGCCAGCCAGATCAAAGTCATGCTATTTCAATCTTTTGTTTGTTTGTTTTTCCACACAGAATTTCTCTATGTAGCCCTGGCTGTTCTGGAACTCTCACTGTAGATGAGGCTGATCTTGAACTCACAGAGATCTGCCTGCCTCTCTCTGCCTTCTGAGTGCTAGGTTTAAAGGCATGTGCCACCATGCCTGGCTCAATCTGTTTTTTAAAAAGGTAATTTTCAGGAAAACATATTTAAGTTACCTTAAGTAAATAAAAAATTAAAGAAATGGAATAGAAGTGGTATTTTTAAATTAAAAAAAAACCCCATATTTCCTGCAATGCTGGAGAATGAACCTAGGGCCTCACATATGGTAGACAAGTGTTAGAACTCCAAGCCACACCTGGTGCTCAACAATTTTCTCAATGAAAAGAAGTAATTTCAACAGTAAAAGGTAAGTTCAAGGAACAGAAAGGAGTCCATCAGCTCTTTGAAACTCTGATAGATGGACAGTTTCTTCCTTTCTAGAAATAGGTCCATATGTTCCTCTGCCCTGGGCAACAGTAGACCTCTCTACTATGTTGTATGTTAAGTTTTGCTATCTTAGGCATTTCAACAAGGAAAACATCTTCCTTAGAGACACTATGCTCATATATCTCCTAAACTAACCTATAGTCTATAGTTCTTAGAAATTATACTCATTCCTAGCCCCTTTTCTATATTTTTTGTGGACTCAAAGAAATACATTTATTTGATGTTTTCAGAATTATTTTTGTAAGATTAAAATAACCTGAAATTCTATAATGACAGAATGTATACTATTCCCAAATCAGAGCTTATTTGTAATGCTTAAAACCTTCAATTTGAAAGATGCTTGGAGACATATTAAACACTGAACACCAACTAGCTTCTGAACCTAGAATTTAAAAGCAACATGTTAACTAAAGAAACATTTATAGAACAGTAGAACTGGATAATATGGGCTGGAGAGATGGTCAGCAGTTAAGGAACAGGCTTCTCTTCCAGGGAACCTATGCTCAATTGCCAGCACCCATACAGCAGCTAACAACTGCCTGTAATTCTAATCCCGGGGGATCAGACTCCCTCTTCTGGCCTCTATGGGCACAGACATATATGCAGGTGAAACACATATATACATAAAATAATAAAAATTAATAATCTGCAACATTTATATTATTTTCATTAGAAAGTCCCAAATTATCAACAATTTATCTTAAATAGCTATATATTTATAATCCCTGATTATTAGGGATTACAACTTTATATGAGTTTATAATATATAATGGTTAAAACCATACTAAATGCATTAAAACTGAAATATTTGTTACTATCTATACTTATTTTATATATAAAATTAACTCTTCATGATCAGTATTAACTAGGTCATAAATACTTTCAGAACATAATGCATGCAGCAGTTTTTTTCTCATTTCCTATTGCAATATACTAGCAGGTGACCACTATCAATTGCCTTAGACAATAATCACATCAGCCTTGCCAACAGTCCACTTTATTGTGACTAATAATTACCATGTGGATAGCAACAAGATGTTTAGATACGTACCTCTTGTACAAGGTCTTGTACATTGGAGATAAGAGGAAATGGAGGACTGGCCTTGTTCATGTGTACTGTGACAGCATTGTGTATCTTGAACGCATTTTGAAAATCTTTGTTTTGTACAAGTTGTAGAAGCAGTGAAATATCCTCCTGGCTCTGAGAATCAACCAAAGTGTGTTGGATATGTTTAAGTGAAGAAAACAAGTCTTCAACTTCTAGTAGGAAAAGGAAAGTTGTCCCAAAATTAATTGTTTTAGTTTAAATTCAACACGTTTTAGGATAAAATTTCTTGAACCAGTATAACTTAATGTCTTTAGGGTAAAAATAGTTTGCATAGTTTTAAGTGTCTATCATTATTATTTTACTAACACTTCATAAAACTGTTAAAGCTGGGCTGGAGAGATGGCTTCTAAAGGTTGTGAGTTCAATTCCCAGCAACCACATAGTGGCTCACAACCACTCATTATGAGATCTGGTACCTTCCTCTGGTGTGCAGACATACATGGAAGCAGAATGTTGTACACACAATAAATAAATAAAAAATCTTTAAAAAAAAACCCCAAAACTGTTAAAGCTATAAAACACAATAACATGCATTTTAAGAAAGCATTTTAACACACGGGGAAGGGCCTAGGCCTGGCCCAGGATGATGTGGTAAACTTTGGGGAGCCCCTTTTGAGGGCCTTACCCTGCCTGGGCAGGTGGGATGTTGGGGGGGAGGGGAGGGAGAGGGAGAAGGGATTGATATCTGAAGCAAGCTTGTTCCTAATTTGAACTAATAAAGTAAAAAAATGCTTATTTTAATTAGAAAAATACATAAGGGAATGCAGAATTAAAATTAAAAAATATCAATAATCTCACTACCTAGAAATATTTCCCTGGTTAGCATCCTTTTTCATTTTATAGTATACTGTAATTGCTCTCCTACAACACTAGTTTTAAAAGAACATTACAAGTAATGGGTTCACCATACATGGCTAAAGCATAACTTATAATAATCATCATGTTAATGTTCAATATTTAGGATGCTTCCATTTTAACTATCATAAGCAATAATAAATATTCCAGTACAAAAAAAATTATTGGTGCATATAAATCTGTCCGAGATCCTGTAAGATAATTTCTAGAAACAGGTGCTGGAGAGATGGCCTAGTGGTTAAGAGCACTCACTGGCTGCTCTTGCTGAGGACCCAGGTTTGACTCCCAAGCACTCACATAGGAGCTCACAACTGATTGTAACTCAAGTTCCAGGGGATCGAAACTCTGTTCTGGCCTCTGCAGACACCAGGTTTGTAGATGGTGTGTATATATATACACACAGTCAAAATATTCACACATATAAAATAAATAAATGAAAAATTTTAATTCCTAGAAATAGAACTTTTACTCAAGATTCTGACATTTTAAAAGACACACTCAGCTGGGAGGTGATGGTGCATGACTTTAATCCCAACACTTGGGAGGCAGAGGCTGGCAGGACCAAACTCATTTTAGAGAGTTTATGCTAAATTATATTAAATTAGTAATGAATGTCATTACCAATATTCAATATAATTTGCAAAGCTTTAATAGGGAGAATGAAATATATTCATATTACCAACACCTTTGTCTACTGCTGTGATCCAGCACCATGACCAAAAGCCACTTGTGGAGAAAAGAATTTATTTCATCTTACACCCACAGGGCAGGAATGCAAACAGGACAGGAACCTGAAGGGAGGAACTGAGACACAGGTCTTGCAAGAACACTGCTTACTGGCTTGCTCCCCTATGCCTTTGTTCAGTCTGCTTTCAACAGCACAGGAGTGATACCACCCAAATTGGGCTGGGCCCTCCCACATAAATCACCACTTAAGAAAATACCCCACAGACATGCCTACAGGACAATCTGATGGAGGCATTTTCTCAACTGGGTTCCTTCTTCTAACTAGCTGGCATCAAGTTGACAAAACAAACTAGCCATCACAGTCAACTAATTTTTGGTGTCTACAAAACTAATGAAAGTGCCTCCTAAATTGTGAAGTTTCTGATCTCTGTGTGTTTTTTATGCCTGTTAGTATGCATACACAGCACACTCAAAAAAATGATTAGGCCCAAATCATTAAGAACCATTAGTAGTTTCTCCCCTGCTCCCCAAAAGGGTTTTTTTTGGGGGGGGAGGATTAAAATGAAAATGCTTTAAAACCTTTAAAAAATCTTGACTTTCAAAATTATCCACAACTTTTGGCATATGTTCCATCTTCTTTTTTCTTATTTTCTAAAATGAAAAGTTCCTTTGTGATTTTGACCAAAACTAAGTTTGTAAATGAGTAGGAAACTGTACCAGAGCTATGTAAGATTTGAAGAGAGCAAATTTGGGCACAAATTATTATATTTACAAGAGCAAATAAGAATATGGCATTTAAGACTCTACCGAATTCCAAGAGGTGACCATATTAATAACTTTAAAACATTTAAACAACTTAAAAGAAAAAAATTATGAAATCTACAGAGCAGTTAATTGTCCACAGTCTTAAGGGAACTACAGATACGTCCCAAAGTGGAGAGAGTCTTATTAAAATATTAATGACTGTTAAAAGAGATGTTCGTCTGGGAAATGAGATGGGCAAGGAGCCTCAGGCACCACTGCTGAATGAAACTAATAAGCAACTCAATCCAGAAGGGAACTGCTTCTCGGGTTTCTGCAACTCCACAGAGAATGAAATTATTTTAAGACAAAAAAAATTGTTGGAGAATCTTTCTGGTATGCTAAAGCTACTTAACAACGACATACTAATCACATTTTTAAAAAATTATTTATTTTCACTTATTTGTTGTAATTACTCATATTATTTCATATTTTTACCTATTTGTTATAATTACTGGCATTATTTTGTACTACGTAGCATTTCTTGTTTTTTTAAAGGCAGATCTAACCATATAGTGACAGTTAATTTTTAATTTAAATACTAATTATTCATTGGAATAAATTCCTAGAGTAACCTTACTGAGATAGTAGAAACACTAAAGACTTTAATATACATTGCCAAACTGACTCCCAGATTTGTGAGTGCCTGCTTTGAAACATATCAAATTAAGGATTACACTGATCTTTCATTCTTTGGTAAATGTATTTTTACAAGACATGATCATTTGTATTTCCTTTTTCAATTAATTTATCCTTCATAACTGGAATTTCACTGATTGTATTGATATTTCTGCAGTCTTAAGTGGAACATACTGAATGTAATTTCACTGTTATATTAAAATAATAGCTTTTAATCAAAAGTATAAAAATAACTAAAGAGGAGGGTGGGGAGATTGCTCATAGTGTGGTGATATATTATTTATGGTTTAATAAAGCCACTGGAGATCAAAATGAAAGGCTAGCCACTAGCCAAAGAGCCAGGCAATGGTGGCACACACCTTTAATCCCAGGATTTAGGAGACAGGCAGATGGATCTCACTGAGTTCTAGACCACCCTGGCCTACACAAGAATGAAGAGTAACAGAGTTCATACCTTTGATCCCAGCACTTGGGATCACACGCCTTTAATCCTAGCACTATGGAGGTGGAGACATGAGTGATATGGTTGGGCAGAAAAAGGAATTTAAGGCGGGAGGAGACAGAGTTTTTGCCTCTGAGAATTCGTAGAGACAGGATTGCCATTTCAGCTGGTCAGAGGTAAGATCTACTGGCCTGGCTGCTTTGCTTCTCTGATCTTCAGCTTGAAGCTGGAACCCCAATATCAATCTCTGGGTTTTTATTACTCATGTTACATCATAGTATGAACAGATTTCTGGTCCCCAGCATCCACTGCTTATGTGGGCCCTGTGGAGTGGAGACAAGGTTCCCCAGGGCACCAGCTACTGGACTAGATGACTTGGCAGGCTCTGGGTTTAGTCAGGGACCCTGCTTCAGTAAAATGAAGTGGACAGCAATCGAAGAAGACACTGAAATGTCAACTTCAGGCTCCACATACCATGTACACACATAAACACACATATATACATCTGCACTCCCATGTAAAAACAAAACAAAACAAAACAAACCACTAAAGAAATTTAAAAGAGTTATATGTCCAAGATTTCTACCACAAATACAATTCCAGTTTCAGTGGCTCTAGAGACAGTATTGAGTTGATTATAATGTGTCATCTTCTGAATTAGAACTACTGACTTAAGGTATTTACATAAATTAAATTAGCGCCGGGCATTGGTGGCCCACACCTTTATTCCCAGCTACTGGGAGGCAGAGGCAGGCGGATCTCTGTGAGTTCAAGACCAGCCTGGTCTCCAGAGCGAATGCCAGGATAGGCTCCAAAGCTACACAGAGAAACCCTGTCTCAAAAAACCAAAAAAAAACAAAAAAAAAAAAAAAAAAAAACCAAAAAAAAAATTAAATTAGCATAATAGAAATTATATATTTGGGACTATTATTCATGCTTATTTTCTCAATTACTATGAATTTCTTTACCATGAGTTTCTTTCTTTCAAAAAAAAGATGTATTTATTTTATGTTTATGAGTGTTTTGCCTACATATAGGTTTATGCACCATATGTGTGCCTGATTCCTTTGGAAGCCAGAACAGGGCATTTGATTACCAGGAACTGGAGTTATAAACACTCCATCTCTCAGCACCTACTATGAGTTTCTTATGTTTGCTTTTTATTCTACTTCCTCCTCAGCAATTATCTGTCACCTTATTCTTACTTTCAGAATTAAAATTAAATATACAAATAATTTTTTCAAGTATATCAGATTGTGTAATCATAAGCCAGGAAAGCCAACTAGGGAAGTAGGGTGGGGTACCCAGACTAGGAATGCTGACTGAGAGAGAATGCTTGAGACCAGTACTATCACTTTGGAAGATTAGCAGAGTAAGATACTATTCAGAGGCTGGGCATGGTGGTGCACACCTTTAGTCTCAGTACTCCAGAAGAAGGCAAGCGGATTTGAGTTTGAGGCCAGCCTGGTCTACAAACATTCCAGAATATCTAGAGCTACATTATAGAGCTGAACAGTATCTTGTCTGGGCTGGAGAATGAGATTATGTGAGGAGGTTCAAGGAGCCTAACACTTCTGGGCTAGGGGGTTTGGGGGAGAAGACAGGCAGGCCCCAAGCTTGACCTTCTAACCCTGTCTCAAAAACAAGATACTGTTCAGAAAGTAAGTAGAAAATTTGTAGTTAGTCAAAAGAGACAGTAGTTTCCAAACTTGAAGAAATTAGTAGTCT